TTTTTTTTTTTAATGATGGCCAAGATATGTATATATAATTAAAAAAAAAAAGGGTACTTGTCCAGATAATAATAGCGTCACAATAATTTATTTTGTATTTCTTTTCACATCTATGTTTTCTATTACTGTTCAATCCACTCTACAAATACATCTTGGTGCACCTATTTGTTTTTTAATTTACTTTTGCACTAGCATTAATCAAACATTGAGTACATAAGCAGTAAAATATAGAAGAGTGAAATTTCTCTAGCTAAGTTTTAATTATGAATTTTTTAGTAATAGTATAAATAAATAAATAAATAAATAAAAAATGTCCATTATTGATCCAACACAACTTTAATGAATGAATATTTAAAAAATATAATATCCAATTTTAGTGTATTAAAATTTTTTAATTTCTAACAGAATCTACTCTGAATTTCAAGATTTTTTTCCCTGTCCATAGATTTTTTGTCTCTTATTATAAACATACAATACATGAAATGCATCAGATTATATGTGACATAAATTCAAAAGCAAAACTAAGTTAGGTCAATTCACAATTTGCTCTTTTATCTCTCACATTTCAATGTCTTCAAGGTCTGGTAAGGGAAAACGAAGAATAGCTGCCACTCCAGTCAACTGTGCAAGTTCTGCACACATTAAAAATTACTCCAATCACACGTCCGTAGAATTCATTGTTCGCCCAACAAATTGGGTTGATTCCGAAAAATACTAAGAAAAGTTAGAATTTACAGAAACTAATCTGTGTGTTCTTGTAAATATAAAAAAGATGAAACGGTTGAACAGAAGAACTTACGTTCTCCTGAAACATGCATAGACGAGAAGATGTGAACAGTACCACCCGAAGCTTTGACTGAATCAACCAAATCGACATACTTTTGCCTTGTTGGGATATCAGAGCTCCTGAAAGATTTTATCCATGAAAAGAATGATGTTATTAGATAAAAAGTTTCTGATTAAACCTTTCATGTAGATTTTCTATTTTTTTTTTAAAAAAAAAAGGCATTTCCCAGGCTTTGGTTAAAAGGCAGAAGAACTCGTTCAGTTGCACACTTTGAGAGCTGTAATAATTGTACGGTTTTACCAGAGTGCGACTATAACCTGAAAAGCTCATCAGTTATGAGAAGTGTCTGAACCGCCATTCGCTCGTGGGCAACCTCAACATGCCTTGGTCCGTAGCACGCACGTTCAGGATCCTAAACCGAAACCAATGCATCAAAAAACATGTAAAAAACCAATGCTATTTTCTAAAGTGACAAAATCAGATGCAAAGTTAATTTATAATGCAGAAAATCAACTTTTTTTCAGCTATTCTAATACATTTGTTGGTGCAGAAATACATTGTACGATCACAGATAATCTCATGGAATTTCTTAACTTTATGGCTGTGTTTGGTGAACATATAAGCTAGCTTATAGCTTATTCGATTAGCTTATAAGCATCATGTGTTCAAATAAAGCTTGATTTGGTAGGACGAATTTTTTAGAAAGCTCAAGCTTATTCATAAGCTTCTTTGGGTATATTATCCATTGAAATTCTTATTTCAGCTAATTACCACACTTTTATTATATAAACTAGTTTTTCAGTCATAAGCCATAAGCTATCAGCTTAAAAGCTATAAGCTAGTTTGTCTTCTAGATTTACCAAACATCGCCTATATAGAACAAAAACAAATACCAATATGACATGAACACAGAGAAGAAGGTTAGAACCTAACATTGGAAAGCATGGCAAAGAAATCCTTGAGTGCTCGAACCTGTATTCAAAACTAAGGTCAAATTTCGCATTCGGGAACAAGAAAGTGAAGAAGTTGACATCTTGTGAAGATGACAAAAATAGATCAGAGATTAGAATATGAAGAAAGCTCATAAAACTGAAGCTGGTGCAGATTTCACCTCTTGTGCAGCTTTTGTATCTTTTATCATATTCATAACACTTGAATCATCCAACACCTCTTTCAAACTATGCCTGAGTGACAGTTTTTGAAGGTAGATTAAAAAAAAAAAAAAATTAATATGCGAAAACAGTGACAAACAACTGAATTTTAAATACCACTACAATCATTGTTACAATTACATCAACTTTAATTCACTATTCGCCCACTCACATAATTTTAAGTAACCATCAATTCCCATCATCTCTCTCCTACTTTTACATTAAATCAACTTTAATTATTTTATTTTAAATATTATTTTAATATGAACTCAAAATCCCACATACAACTAACCATGCCACTTTTTTTTCAAAATTAACCATAATAAACCAAAAAATCGAAACAAAATCAGAACATCTCATATTCGAGAATCCCCGAACCAGAGACATAAATATAATCCTAGCAGTGTGAACAAGAATTATACGTGACTTGTTCTCAATGAAAGTTCATAGAAAGATTTTGAACAAAGAGATTGGAGAGTGGAAAAAGAGAGAGAGGCTACTTGTATCCAGAGGTGGTATGAACAAGAATTATACGTGACTTGTTCTCAATGACAGGCCTCAGCTGCTTCCTTTCAGCTTCCAACAATAAGTGCTTATGGAATTGGTCCTGCACGTGCATGAGAGCAGGTAATAATACTACTCGTAATAAAATATTACCTTATGTAAAAATAGCAAAACTTGTAGCAGACATGATAAAAAAATCTCTCGGCTATCAAATAAAGCACCTTGGTAAATCCTGGACTTGCGATCACCGCACAGCGAACAACATTGAAATCAACATGTTTAAGGAAGGCCTATAACAGATAAACGGAACTTCAGAAGTTGTTGATAATTACTTAAAATTTATGGAAACGAAAAAGGAACAAGAAGAGAGAGAGAGAGAGAGAGAGAGAGAGAGAGAGAGAGAGCATATAAAGATGAGTGAACCTGTAAAACATTGTCGAAAAATTTATTCAACGCCTGTAAAAAAAAATATTCCCATTATTAGGAATTGATTTGTGTCTTCACATAAAAGTTCTATAAGACTACAAATACATTACAGAAATTTGAGGTAAGCCTACCTTATCGTAGCCCGCAATGGCAGGTCCATGCTTCCGAGGTATTGAAGTCTCAATACGAGAACGAGTAGTTGTGACACTGTTGATGCATGGTACGAGTTGGATTAAGATCGGACAAACATCAAGTCGTCAATTTATATATCTAGAAAACTTATTTTCATCACAGCAGAATTAAATATGCAATCATATCTCTTGGCGGGTATAAGACTCTGGTTTAAACTGAAAGAGATATTTAAGGTAAAAACTAACAGCAGAACACAGAATGGTGCCAAAAATTATTTACAAAACCAACATGACAGCCCATTCTAGTCAGCGACAAAAAAAAAATATTTAAAAAGTAAAGTTCTACTGCAACCCTGAAATGAAGAATCAAGTGAAACTCACGCATGCTAACCAATCTGCTACAGAAATTATGGAAACACCAATACTTTAAGGAACATCCACCTCTACCAAGTTAGTTTACTAAACATGAGTAATATGTCAATATCTTAAAAATAAAACTGAAAAAAATCAGATTTAAGAAAAAGAAAAGTTGCAAAGTGTTCTGCTTTAGCAATTGAAGCTAGAGAACTCTAGTAAACTATATATCATAATAACAATAGATAGGATTACCTTTTACCAACAAGTAGAATATGTGCCAGGCCTTCTTGCATCAGAATAACGGCCAGGTCTGCACTTGCTTTTGGATCTAAAGAATGACAATCCACAAGCAATCACTACATAGGAACTCAAAGTCGCAATATAACTTCCACAATGACAATTTTATTAGTCTTTCCTAGGATAAGGGGTTACTAAATGACCACCACACATGGTCAATGCCAAAGCCTTATAGTTTCCCGCCAAGGTATGTACCAAAAAGGTCCAAAATATACACAATGCTCGTGTTTGTAGATACCAACAGTTAGTCATTTACACTCACTAATAGAACTCCAGGGTCCAGGACGGTTGATCAACACCCAAAATATGTCTGAAAATTTACAAGGTTTTCAAATAAAATATATGTTGATCATATGCACGTTCTCGGAAATTATTAAGTTAAGGGTGTATTGAGGAGACTGTCCGCGCATAGTTTACGCTTCACTTGGATATAGAGGAATTAAATACATAATTATGAGAAGCTGATTCTTTGCATTCAATTTTATAAAAAAGAGCAGGAAGTTCTCGCGAGAGCTAGCCAAGATATATACACTATAATAAGCTCCTAAGTTTTAACATAATCTCATGACACTGGCCACTGTCCGGTGTACACTGACATTTTAAAATTCATTAGCGCACCAGAAAATTTAAAATTTAGCAATTCAATATCATTACTGGTTATAATTACTTGTCCTCTCACCCTTCTATGACGTAACATGGTCTGGCACAAGGCAATTATTACACAGAATGATCGAGCTTTTTTTATCTACAAAAAGTTCTTCCCGTTTACTCAAGTTTCTCCACAGATGTCCCTTTCAATCTAACTTCCCTCCAGCCACTCCAATATCTCTGGCATGGAACTACTGAAAATTCGGGCTTCTCCACTTCTTTTATGCTTATGTACACAATTCCCCATGTGGTTTTGTAGTTTCTATAGCAACTCTTAAAAGAGTGTTCCCTAAGAAATAAATGATGTAGAAACTAACAATGTAAAGAGCTCCTCCATACTTTTTCAGTTGGTCCAGATTGAGGCACAACAGAAAATTAGCAGCATTTTCTTACCTAATACCCAGTGGTCATTATATATTTAAAGGTACTGCCAAACACAACATTTGACACAGGATATTGCTGAAGAACAAAATAAGTAATATATTAAATTTAGGCAAGTATATATTACCAGATACTTGACGAATCATATCCAATGCAAGGGAGTCCCAAAGCTCCTAGATAGATGACAAAATGATAAATAACATAGATTTGTTTATACAGCCAACTCTCGTTGAACAGCATTAAGATAAAAGTTATTAACTATAAACTATAAAGAACGTAAAAGGGAAATCACATCCAACTAGTCAATAAGGAGTATAGGTATACTGGAACCATGTGTTCAACCTTCCCCCCATCCAACCACCCAAACCCAGAAAACTTGCAATGTGTGTGCAATATGCACTTAGAATATCTAATAAAGCAATCCACAATATTTCTTATATATTTTAAGTGTAATGTAAAAACAAGCAACTCAAAAGTTTCTGTACTGAAATGAATCAACGACTAAAATATTCATTCAAAGTAAATTTTCATAAAGTTAAAAAAAGAAAAAAAAAAAGAAATCAGAACTGTCCACACGATCAACGGAGAAAGAGAAATGCCCTGCCATTACAGACGCTATTACAATCACCCTTTCAATTACCAATTCCTGATCTTAATCAAATGAAGAAAAAACATAGAAAGAAAGAAAAAAATAAAGAAAAAAGAAACAGAACATGATTTGTTGATCCACTATAGTAAAATAAAAGTGAGCAAGTCATGAATGGAGATGTATGCATAGAAGCTGAACAAACTTCGTGAACGAATACTGAAAGAATGGCGTACAAGAAAAAAGAAAAAAAAATACCTTTCTTAATACAAAAGGCCTGTGGAGCTCAATCTCTAAAGTGTGAAATGCCCCAATCTGCAGCATCAATACTATTAGCAAAAGTTACCTTGCCGCATCAAGCATATGAAATATTTAAGAATAAAATCTCAAGCTACCTACCTTGACGTGTTCGTTCTCTAATACATTCTTCCCACGTATGCGTAAGGCTGATCCTTCTTTATCATACTCGACAGCCTAATATTTAAGCAGATAATCATTCAGCTTGTCTCTAGTAGGCAAGTTATGCAAGACTTCCAGTTCAATTTGGTAAGACTTTAAGTTGGCATGGATATAAACTTGCTTTGTTGAAAATTTTACAAAGAACTTCAAAACAGAATTCCAGAGTGCAATTCAACTTGAAAATGACTTCAATAAAAGTTTCTATTCACTGGACCACATTAATCTAAGTGAAAACATGACCTGGTACAAACTCAATTGATTTTACCACTTTCCAACACTTCCCTACGCAACAAAACTATGAATTCAAGCCTCAAAAACCAGCTGGTAGAGTTTGTGATGGGCCAGTTAAATATGCAATGCTCATGATGTCTGATAAACAATTTGAGTAATAAGTCAACTTTAGATGAAATACAATAGGATGAAATGCTTAGTACCATTTTATTACGATTCATGACCGACTGAAGAGCAATTTATTTAGAAAAGTGACCCTTGATTCTTTTGTCGTATATTCACCGACTCAATTGTTTTAGGATGTGAAACTCATGAATACAGCGCAAATAAGGTTCCAAAAGTGATTTCTAGATGAACAGGTTAGAATATATTGAACAGAAACCATTGTACAATGGAACTCCGTCTTAGGGAGAGGCCCAGGTGATATATTCGAAGTTCTTCTCTTCTTTCTTGTTGTTGTTTTTTTTTTTTTTTT